CAGTGAACATCGCCTACAACATCGAAGTGTCTTTCTCCAGACCCGTAATCACCCTGATCACATACTGTCGCGAGTACAACCGCCGCTGCCTAACCTAACCATCGCCACCGCCTACACCAACTCCCTACCTTCTGCCACTACCCCTGTCCCACACTAGCCTAACGTGCCTCACAGAACAAGAATTCCAGATCTGATGAGGGTCAAGATGAGAATCTACCGTAGCCACCAAAGTCGTCAGTGGCTCCCAAATCCGACGAAGCACGTCTCCGGATCAATAGCTCTCGCCGCCGGACTAGAAATTCCTCGCTGGATCTACGAAGCTCGTCGTCGCCACCGCAGGAGGGAACGACGACGGAGCGAGCAACGGCGGTTTTTGGACAAAAAGAAAGGAGAAGAAGAGAAGGAGATGAGGAGAGGAGTTCCAGTGGTAGGTTTAGCCGCCGCCGCCGTTGCTCTGGGTAGCCGTCATCTTCTTCGTTCTTCGTAGCGGCTGCCATGGATCAAAGAGTCTATGCGGAAGAAGATGGGGGATGGCTGGAAAGAGGTTTGGACGCCATCTTCGTCACAAAATTTGGTCGCCATCTTCATCGGATGAAATCCGCCATTTCAAGGGAAAGAGCTGTGCTACATCGATGATGGAGTGAAATGGAAAATTCAATTGAAATTAGGGTTGGGAGCAGGGTTATTTGAGTCTCTTTACCCTTCTTTTAATCACTTTTTTGTCTAAAACTCAATCTGCTCACATTTTTGTGTATACGGGACTCCATGGTCTCATTTTAGTCATTCTTTCAAAAGATATTTGAAATACTAGAGGCATGCATGCACAAGTTGGAAGACCAAATGCACGATATAATTATGCAATACCCAACAGAATCCATTACTTAGTTCCACATTAGTGAAAAAAGTGTGGGTCGAAAAGGTAATAGTGTACACACAAATTAGGGTATGTAAATGAAAGTGCTTAAGAAGATATTAAACAAATTTATGCTAAAAATGAAAACGCCTTAAGAGAAGTGCTTAACTTGAAAACTCTTAACTGTTAAAACTGGGGAGTTGGGAAACTGTTTTAGAAAATCTGGCGGATTTCTCAGAGTATCGTGTGATCACTTTCCGAATCTAATATTTCGACTCTATGCCTGGGTTACACGAAATTTAGATTATGGGGATAATCACTCTAAGAGACAGTCTAAAACTGAGACACCAATATATAGATCACGAACTAGCAGTTTTAGTAGAACTCGAATTCTTCTGATTACCAAAGAGATAAGGCCAATCAGTTAGAGTTTTACTCTAACAGAAAGTCATTCTATTAAATAATTAATATGGACATGTTTATCCGAAAATAAATTTCCATATTTATTTCTTTAATAAAATAAAAGTTTGGTCCGGAGCGCTGCCCTGAGCCCCGCGAGGGCGGCCTCCCTCGACCCCGCTCGCTGACCGAGACCCCCGCCAGGGGCGCTGCCCCTTGGACCCCGCAAGGGGGCGCAACCCCCTTGACCCCCGCCATTTAATCGAACCAAGTTTAAATTTAATTTCGTACAAGTGTGCGCTCCGCACCTCCTAACTTGTCTAAAATTAAACTTGAACTCCATTGGTAATCTGTAAATTCCATTACACTAAAATGAATCTGGTGATACTAAAATCACCAACAATCCTCCCCCATTTTAGTGTAACCATGAATCTATATAAACAAGAATAAGAGACAACCAAACTTATGCATACATGAAAATATCGAAACGATTGAATTTTCATATTAGTACATTACACATTCCAAATACTCGAGAATCAGGGTGTTCTAAGAATTGAACCCTTCAACCCATTTGAATACATGAAGATAACATACACATAAGTTCAAATAAACAACTAGTTCAAAACTTTGACACTATTATTAAGCCGAGTGTCCCAATCCATTCATAATCGTATAAAAGTCATGTCCCAACTTTTCGAAGTGCGGCTACACTTCACGATCATATAGGTAATTCCTTTAATCATGTACCTGCTTACATTTCAACAAAGGAATTATTAAGAATATATATTCAACCCTTTTACTACAGGTCCGAACACACTAACCTGGGATGACAAAATGCATGTTTTCCATTCCTTAAGTATGAGCTTTCCTCATTGAATTCAACCTCTAATATTATATTAGAGGGGAATTGGGTGTCTCATCATTATGGAATTAAATGGACTTTAAACCCATCCCAATCGCAGACTTGTGCACTAAGTCCCTGGCCAGACCTTTAGTTAAATGATCTGCCAAATTCTGTTGTGATTTCACATACTCAACAGAAATTATACCCTTCATGATTAAGTCCCTAATCATACTGTGTCTAACACCTAAGTGTCTAGACTTCCCATTATACACTTGGCTATAGGCCTTAGCCAACGTGGCAGCACTATCACAACGAATAGAAATGGGTGCAATTGGCTTTGTCCATAATGGAATCTCAAAAACCAAATCCCTTAGCCATTCTGCCTCTTTACCGGCAGCAGCTAAAGCAACAAATTCAGACTCCATTGTTGAGTTTGTAATGCAAGTTTGCTTCTTAGAGGCCCAAGAAATGGCACATCCCCCAAGCAAGAATACCCAACCACTTGTAGAAGAATGATCTTCTAGGTGATTTATCCAGCTTGCATCAGTATATCCTTCTAGAACCGAGGGATATCCAAGATAACATATTCCATAATCCATGGTTCCTTTTAAGTATTTGAATACTCTCTGAATTGCTTGCCAATGTTGAGTACTAGGATTGCTAGTATACCGACTCAACCTCCCAACCGCGTAGGCGATATCCGGACGAGTGCTTGTCATGGCATACATCAAGCATCCTATAGCTTGAGAGTATTCTAATTGTGATATTGCCTTGCCTTTGTTTGGCATTAATTTGACACTAGGGTCCATGGGAGTACTCACGGGAGAACATTCACTATAATTAAATTTTTTGAGAATTTTCTCAACATAGTGTGCTTGCGTCATAGTAATTCCTTTGTTCAACCGCTTAATCCTAATACCAAGGATTACATCAGCCTCCCCCATATCTTTCATGGAAAACCTTGATGACAATAAACTTTTCGTTTCATCAACTTGAAGTTGATCAGTGCCAAAAATCAGCATGTCATCAACATATAGGCAAATTATCACACCACACCCGGTTGAATCAAACCGACTGTAAACACATTTATCAGATTGGTTTAGCTTAAAACCACTTGATAAAATAACTTCATCAAACTTTTGATGCCATTGTTTTGGTGCTTGTTTCAGACCATACAAAGATTTGACAAGCTTACACACTTTATGCTCATTACCGGGCATAACAAAACCTTCTGGTTGGTTCATGTAAATTTCCTCATCAAGCTCTCCATTTAAGAAGGCTGCTTTGACATCCATTTGATGGACAACCAGATTGTGGATGGTTGCCAAAGCAACCAACAATCTAATGGTAGATATCCGGGCCACTGATGCATATGTGTCAAAATAATCAATACCTGGTTTTTGTTTAAACCCTTGTATTACCAAACGTGCTTTGAACTTATCTATAATTCCATCTACCTTCATCTTCTTTTTGAAGATCCATTTGCAACCCAAAGGTTTAGAACCTGGTGGCAAATCACATAGCACCCATGTATTGTTTTCTAAAATTGATGATAATTCATCATCAATTGCCTCTTTCCAAAAGGTCACATCTCGAGATTCCATGGCCTCTTTAAAGGTCTTTGGATCTCCTTCAATACTGTAACAATAAGAGTATTGAAATCCAACCTCATCCCTTGATCCTTCCACCAAATACAGCTGGAAATCGGAGCCAAAATTTTTAGCAATTCGAGCCCGTTTGCTCCTCCTGACCTTCTGGGGTTCCGGATCTGATATACCTTCTAAAGTTTCTGAAATTTGTCCTTCATTACTGTTAGAAATCAGATCCTTAGGCCTTGGGATTGATGAAAAACGCATTTCATCAAAAATCGCATCTCGCTACTCAATCACGGTATGTACAGAAACCGAATTATTAGGATCTATAACATAGAACCTATATGCCTTGGAATTTTCAGCATATCCTATGAAAATGCAGTCAATTCCCCTTTCTCCCAAAGTATTTATTTTGGGATTGGTTAGTTTGACAACTGCCCGACAGCCCCAAATTCTGAGGTAACTCAAATTTGGAGACTTTTTGAACCATAATTCATATGGGGTTTTCTTGTTCCTTTTATTTGGAACCCTATTCAAGACATAACATGCGGTAAGCATTGCCTCCCCCCAAAAACCCTTACTCAAGCCTGAGTAAGACAACATCGAGTTGACCATTTCTTTTAAAACTCGATTTTTCCTTTCGGCAACACCATTCTGTTGTGGTGTATATGGTGCCGTGGTCTCATGGATGATACCAACTGATTGGAAATATTGGGTATCCATATATTCCCCTCCCCGATCAGTTCTAAGACATTTAACCGGATTGCCTAATTGCAGTTCCACCTCGGTTTTGTATATTTTGAATTTTTGTAAGGTTTCATCCTTAGAATGCAACAAATACACATAGCAAAACCGAGTTGAATCATCAATAAAAGTTACGGCATAATTTTTGTTGCCAAGTGAGGGAGTTGAATGAAAATCACAAAGATCACTATGAATCAATTCCAAAATTCCAAAATTTCGATTAATATTTTGAAAAGGTTGTCTTGTGATTTTGGTCAACATGCAAGTTTTACATTTTTCTGTATTAATATCAAAGGCAGGAATTGATGCATCTTTTGACATTTCGTGCATTCTTCTAAAATTAACGTGACCTAAACGAGCATGCCATAGCATGGCATTATCAATTGAAGAAGTAAATGATGCAGATGATACAAACACAGAATTTCCAACAGAAGATAAAGTATCAACCAAATTCAAGCAAAACATACGATTAGTAAAATAACCAAAACCAACAAACGTGCCAAATCGAGATAAAATAAATTTATCCGATTCAAAGACTTGCTTAAAGTCATCGGAATTTAAACAACCACCACTAACAAGGTTCTTACTAAGCCTAGGAACAAATAAAACATCAGACAACTTTATTGCTCTTCCCGAAGTAAACGTAAGACTAACAACTCCAAAGCCACAAATTGGTTGACTCGACTTATCACCCATCATCACCGTGGAACCATCATCAACTGGTGTCAATTTCTCGAACCATCGACGATCTTTATACATATGACTTGTGGCACCCGAGTCAACCCACCATGTACGGTCATCATCCTGTACATAAAAAGAACCAGGAATTAGTGAACAATAATTCTCAGTAGAATTATAAAGAGGGTTAGAAAGATTCTGACCTCCTCTAGATGCAGTAGAGTCCTGAGGCCCACTGTTTCCACCACCACTGTTTCCTCCACCACTATTTGCAGCATTGTTCTTATTGAGATTCACCCGACAATCACGCTTAACATGACCCGTCTTTTGACATCTCCAACAAACCAGATCCTTAGGATTCTTATTTGGTTTGTCTCGGCTATCATTCTTGCGTTTGATGCCTTTTCCCTTGTGATTTTGATTGTTTTTGTTTACTTCAACCATGTGGGCAGTAGGCTGTCCAACATCAGGCTTTCCCTTATTTTTGTCACCTTCTTGAATGCGGAGTGATTCCTCAATCTGTATGTGACTACCGAGTTGTAACAGAGACAACTCTTCATTCCCATGTTTCAGATCACGCTTGTAATCCTTCCATGTTGGTGGTAATTTTTCAATTATCATCGCTACTGCGACGCACTCATCCATCTTCATATTATGTTGAGTGAGTTGGCCCAGAATGTGAAGAATTTCATTGTATTGTTCCATAACAGGCCTTGAGTCCATCATCTTATAGTGATAAAAATCACTAACAAGGAACTTCTTACTAGAAGCATCCTCAGCCATATATTTGGACTCAAGTGAATTCCACAATTCCTTCGCACTCTCCACGTTTTGATAAATATCAAATAAAGTATCAGACATACCGTTTAGAATATGGCCCCTGCAGATGTAGTCATCGTTTTCCCACTTGGAACGACGCCTTGACTGCTCAATAGTTTCATCTTCGTGATACTCTGGCATAGGCGTACTCAGAACGTAAACCACCTTCAGTGTGGTCAACAGAAAGTGCATCTTCTTTTGCCAGCGACGGAAATCAACTCCTTGGAATTTCTCCAACTTGTCGAATTTGGAAGTCATCTCTTTTACAGATTCAGCCATGATTTTTCGAAACAAGAAAAAATATTAGATTCGATTGTTAAAACTGGGGAGTTGGGAAACTGTTTTAGAAAATCTGGCGGATTTCTCAGAGTATCGTGTGATCACTTTCCGAATCTAATATTTCGACCCTATGCCTGGGTTACACGAAATTTAGATTATGAGGATAATCACTCTAAGAGACAGTCTAAAACTGAGGCACCAATATATAGACCACGAAGGCCAATCAGTTAGAGTTTTACTCTAACAGAAAGTCATTCTATTAAATAATTAATATGGACATGTTTATCCGAAAATAAATTTCCATATTTATTTCTTTAATAAAATAAAATTTTGGTCCGGGGCGCTGCCCTGAGCCCCGCGAGGGCGGCCTCCCTCGACCCCGCTCGCTGACCGAGACCCCCGCCAGGGGCGCTGCCCCTTGGACGCCGCCAGGGGCGCTGCCCCTTGGACGCCGCCAGGGGGTGCAACCCCCTTGACCCCCGTCATTTAATCGAACCAAGTTTAAATTTAATTTCGTACAAGTGTGCGCTCCGCACCTCCTAACTTGTCTAAAATTAAACTTGAACTCCATTGGTAATCTCTAAATTCTATTACACTAAAATGAACCTGGTGATACTAAAATCACCAACATTAACAATATTGAACATCGCCTAAACCCTTCATTTCAAAATGGGTTAAAATAGAGAAAGACTTGTCTATAGAAGACCGAGAGGAATGGGAAGGGGGCTAGTATAGGTAGGGATGAATCCGGGCCGGTCCGGTTCCGGTTCCGAGCCTGGCCCGGGCGGGCTTTTTTCCAAATTGTTGGGTCCGGAACTGGCCCGGGCCAAGGTAATTTTTTTTTTGCTTTCTAATTAACCCCCGACCCCCTCTTCACCCCCACCCCCCAAACCCTCCCAAAACACCCAGCCCTAACCAAGAAAAACAAAAAAATTGAAAAAAACAAAAAAACAAGCTCGACCCTGTCCCGAACCGCCTGGGTCGGTTCAACAAATACAGGGCCCGAGCCCAGCCCGCCCAACCCTCCCCAATCGGGTAAAAGCCCAGGCCCGGTTAGCACCAACCGGGCCAGTTCGGGCCCACACAATGGCAGGCCAGGCCGGTTCCGGGTCGGGCTGAACCGGTTGGGTCCACCCCTAAGTATAGGTATTAAGTGTTGGAACATTTGGAACTCTGCATCTTTCTCCAAAGTCCTTTGAAATATTCATTCCAGACCTCACACTTTTGATTCAAATATTCAATGAGTCAATTAACGAGCTGATTTTTTAATTAAAAATCAAAGTTTGCGAAATGATGTGTAGGATTTATCCCGAATTTTTGTTTACCCTTTTTATGTAATTGTTGAATATACTTGTTTGTTATGCCTTTAAGCCTTTTGAGGCTTGCTAATTGTATGATGATTTTAGTTGGGGACGCCCTGATAACCTTGTACAGTTGTACATAATACTCCAAAGAGTATTCTTTACAAATTACAATTGAACATGAGACTCCAACTTTTCTTTTTGCCATGAGACTCTAATTGTAGTGTGTAATTTACCATTAAATGTGATACGCAGAAGTCACATAAATGGGAGTGCAACCTATCTCTTTAACTATATTATTATATTATATTTTACTGATCTTCTAAATGGACTTTATTTGTACATGTTGATGTTTTCTTAAACGGATAGTTAGTTCTTTAAGAACTAAGGCAGCAAGTCATTTCACATAACCAAGAGATCACTTCATTGTTCATATCAATTTTCCTATTCCTTTCCCCTCCTTTAAATGTCAGTTCTCAAGGTTATTAATGTCTAACATTCTAATAAAAGCATGTATATGTTAATGATATTTTATACTACGCATAGAATTGAACATTATTCTTTTGCAAGTACAAACCCCCAAAACTCCAAAAGACATGAAACCCCCTTGGACACTCATGTTGTGATACCACTTTTATTGTGGCAATCAAGCTTCAAACTGCAATGTGCACCAAAACTCTAAAAACATGTAGTGTTTATCAAATTTGAGATGCAAACTTCTTTTCTATTCATATGATGCTTCACTATTAATACCCACAATAGTTGTGATTCCTTCATCTATTACGGAGTATATACTTAGCTCTTCACCTCTCTCCTAGTACACCATTGGTAATCTCCAATAATTGACCTTCAGCAATTTTCAGGAGGTTCCTCTTTCTATTTAGAAGAACATCTCATTGTCGACTACACCTCCATTCATTGAGTCTTAAAAGTGGACCCAGCCTGATTCCAGATAAGGACAGGCCAAGTAATCCCTGTTCCCCGTCCCCTAAAACCGAAACCTTGACAATGGACAAGGCCTCATTCCGGTTTAAATCTTCTAGTCCTGATTTGGGTGAATTACCAGCTCAGTTCTAGTCCGGTTCCAAAACTGGGTTCACCTCTACGAGACTACGACTAAGGAACTCAGGCATGACAATGGACATTTGAATTTCACATTGCATGAACATATAACAAATAAAAGCGGTGTTATCCAAATTGTCCAATATGCCAAAATCATGAAGGTTGAATTGATAACATCTTTGCAGCTTTTGGTGTCAATTAGAAAATCAATGTCTCGAGTAAAAATGAAGCAATATGAAGAGTAAAAAACTTCAAATGGTTCACATATATAGGTTAATGATTATCATTCAGTTTTTATTGTTTTCAAATCAAGTAAGACGACATGAGATTCCAACTAATTTTCATATGAGATGGCATTGGAGCTACAAAGCGAAGGAGATCAGGTTTTGAAACTGTGTCGTTGCTACCATTGACATTAGTAAAGCTTTTTAACGTTTTACCATGATGAATTTCTAGAAGCTTGGCAATGTTGGGAAGCAGGAGCTCCCGGCAATGCAAATGCAACAACGGAACCTTAGACAGCACACTTCCTTTATGCACATCCAACCCTTCTGGTCTCCTCATTCTGTACGGTTTCCCGGTTGTGGGCTCCACGTCAACTCTCGGCATCTGCTTCCACTTTTTATGTACAAACCAGCCGTACTTGTAATCACCCACGATGGGACAACCCAGTCCTTCTGCACAGTGCACACGTAGCTGTGCAAAATAACATGATTACTATTTATCAAGGATCGCTTCAAGATGGTCTGATTCATGAAGAATATCAATCTCTGTAAAAAGATACTCCCTTTGTATTCTTAATTAAATAACTGTCCATTACGGAAAGTTGTGGTTTTAAGTTGAACATTAATTTTGCCCTGAACATAAAAGGTATTGAATGAAAGAAGCAAACACAAAGTAAATATGGTAGGGCATCCAAGTCACTTTCCCTATGTAAAAATGAAACCCATCCCAATAAAGTCATCTTTTCCTGATAAATAAGAATTGCTAATTAAAAATTACATGTTCCGAACTGCACTAAACGTACTGCTGAATCGCAACAACGAATTTGAGTAATAAATTCATTTCACCTGATGTTTTCTGCTTGTATGTGGACGCAATTCTATCCACGAACATCCGTTGATCATTGGACCCATGACACGGTATTCTGTAATAGCCTCCTGGGAAGATTCTAAGCTCGAGTTGTGAGCCAAGATAACCCTTTCAGTTTTCCCGTTGTCAAGAGACACCTGCGGGAGAACGACAGGGAGCCATCAGGGTCTTCATTTTTCTTCACCAAGTATATCCAAACAGTAGGTGTCTGTTTGGATTTCGGAGAACTCTAGGGAAAGAAAGAAAAAGTGGGGTGAATATGAGCTAAAAACAAACAATAAATAGTTACTTAGTGATGATCTTTTTTTCATGTGCATTATATAGATACTAGCACTTCGTAATCCAAGTGTTGTTGCTTTTTATGACGGAACTTTTTCCAAGCAAAATATAAATATATGTAAAACCAAAAATCTTTTATAATTAGTACTCCCTCCGTCCCATAAAATAAGTCCCATTTCAATTTGGATCGGAGTTTAAGAAAGTGGGAATAAAGTAGAAATGTGTGGTTGAGTAAGAAAAAGGTAAATGAATGTTAGCCACACAAAACATTCCAAAAAGGGAAATGGGAACAATATTTTGGGACGGCCCAAAAAGGAAAATGGGACTTATTTTATGGGACGGAGGGAGTAATATTCCATTTCATTTTGAACTTTCTAAGGTAAAAGTAAAGTTAGAAAAGTAACTTTCGTTTCCCTAGGCCTTCCCTTTTCTGTGATCTAAGCATAATCTAGGGCAATAGGGATAGAGAAACAGAACCTTTGAAAGAGGCGCACAAATTAAGCCGTCCTTTTCTTTGGGGGAACCTATTACCAATGCCCAATATCTTCGATGTGTTGCCTTACAAGAGTCATGCAACACCTGAAGAAAATAAAAAGCACTTAATTTTGAAGGAAAAAACAGGTGAAATAGGAAAGTCAGAGTCACATAGTTCGTGGAACACTTCGGTACGGGAACAAGGATCAGGAACACGGTTCGGTAGGTCTAGTGTAACCGGTTCGAAGGGGGATAGGTTCATTTCAGTACACGTTCAGTACGCTGTACCTTATGTTCGGTTCGTTGTACCTTAGAGCCTGTTTCAATAAAGGAGATTGATACTGATCCTTTTATCAACTCATGAGTTGAAAACTTTAGTACCTTTGACTGAAATTTCTTCTTTGCTGAGTCACTGAGAAACAAATGAAGAAGGGAGATGCTTTCTTCTGTTCTTCCCATTAAAAGAAGGCCACTGCTCTCCCTATCAAGATGATGCACCTGCACAAAAGCAATCATATATCATCACAAACCCTGAATAAACCAGTAAGAGTTAATATAGAAAAAATCAAGAGATGTTGCAGATCTTTCTGTTAGACAGTCACTAATTTTATTGGACATATAGTTTTCCTTATACATTTTCCTGTAATTCAAGAAAGAGGCTCCTCCAGTAATATTTTAAGCAGCGCCATCAATTCTGAATCATAAACAACAGTTTATCTTTCATTTTCAAGAGTGAACATTAAGTTTTTGGGTGTGACCATGTGGCCACAATACTCAACGATGTTGGTGAAGTTGAAAATAATAATTAAATAAATGTGACTCCTTTATATGGTTTTGCAAGATGAATAAGAAAACATCCAAAGATTTCTCAGAAGCGTGCAAAATAGGCTAAGACGCCACATATTCTTAGAGTGACTAAACCAACTCAGTAAAGGGTAGCCCGGTGCACAAAGCATCCCCGCTGAGCAAGTGTACGAGGAAGGGTCCCGCCACAAGGGTGTGATGTAGCCATGTAGGCAAAGCTCACCTTACATTTTTGCAAGAGGCTGATCCTTAAAAATATAATAAGAGGTTTAAGCTGAAATAATAATAAGAGATTCTCGCAATACTGAAATTAAGAAGCATCTCTTACCAGTCTAGGGCCCACATCATAATCATAAGAAAGTGCAGCAGCTGCCAAAGCATCCATGCTATTGTGAATAGGAAGGCTTCCCTAAAACGCACAAAATAACACTATATTGTTAGAAATGCATAACTCATAGGACTTCTTTGAATGACAGCAGATATCGGACAAAGACTTTTCTTTTTAAAAAAATAAGATGCTAACCTTTACTGGAAGTTTAGGGGGCTTATTTAGCACAATTAATGCAGAGTCCTGAATTTGTTTACAACTAATCATTAATTAAAAGCCAAAGGCCACATGAACTATTGTGCAAAGCATCAGGGAAAAAAAGTATCGATAGACCTATTTGATAGCCAATCATTTGTCACCAAACGTTAACTTGTGAAATGTACCTTGTAAGTTACAAGCCGTTGCAAGTAAGCTATCTCATCAGCATTAGGGTACAAGGTGCCACTTGGTATTATATCAAACCGCTTGGAAATTTTGGATTCTACAATAGATACAGGTACATAAACTCTTGCACCCATCTCCATGATCTCATGATGCCTAATCTGTGAAATAAGAGTGTTTTGGATAGCTGAAGAAATAGATTATTTGAATAATTGATTACGCGTATAATAGATATAATCAGAATCAGTTTTTTGTGTAATGTTTATTGAAAAGTGGTTAAAAAATAATTAATTTTATGAGAACAGCTGAAAAACAAAAGCTGTTGAAAAATATTCATAAACTACAAATTACAAACATCTCAAAAGCAGCAGAGAACTTACGAAAATAGTTGTTCCAAAAAAGAAGAAATTCTTAAACATGATTGAAATTTCACAAACTGGAATTCAAAATATTGGCTGAAATTGTAGGTCCCAAACAAGATTTAAATGTCACAAAAGCAAGTGAGACAGTAATAAGACTACGAATGAATGGAGAGTATCTATACGTTTTTCAACTGAATTACTAGCAATACCTTTCTCAAGGAAATTTTGGAACTGACAGTGCTAGGTGAATCATTTATATCACTGCATTCAATCTGCACCTGTGAGGCCATAGATTCAGAATAAAGGAAAACCTTACCACTTTTAAATTTCCAAAATAAATGTCAAAACAGGACCAAGTGACTAAGTTGTCTCAAATCATAATTCTCCTTTCGGTAGCAGCAAGGGTCATATTAATAGTGACACAATTTAATTTCATTTTTTGGAAAAAATTAAGAGCTGTCACATTTTTTCCAATGAACATTATTTTAGTAATATTGGAGGAAAAATTTGTGTTAGACTTATAGTACACATTTTTAAGTTTATGTCTACCATATAAAGACGCAAGTGTTGTTGTGTGACAAAGAGGTTAACAAACTTAGAGGTTCAAGTCTTGAGAGCAGTTTCTTGTCATAACCACATTGGAAGGCTTGTTCGCTATATGGGGGACCCTTCCCCGAACCCTAGCCTTGCAGGGAAGCCAATATATCTAGGAATATGCTTTAGGAATATGCTCTAGAATATGCTTTAGGAATATACTCTAGACATTATTATTGTATAGCATCTTATATAGGAATATTCCATCTTTGTAATATATATATAGGGCCTTAACCCTCTAATGAAATACACAGAAAATCCTTCTCTCCATTTTAATATCATTTCAGTTTCTATTTCAACATGGTATCAGTTAAGTTTTTCTTTTCAGATTTCAGTTTAGTTTGTCATATCTCAGTTCAGTTTTCAGATTGTGTTCTTTCTCCACGAAGTTGATTTCAGTCCAGACTCTTCCCAGAACATCTTCCCAAAACCTCTTCCCAGAATCTTTTCCCAGAACCTCTTCCCAGACTTTTCCCAGAAATTTTCCCAGAACCTCTTCCCAGAACCTCCTATCTCAGAAGCCGGCAACCCTTTTCAAAATCAGAGACTTTCTGTTCCAGTTGATTCTAATTTCACAGCCCAGTTTCTTCCCGTTCAGAACATCGGCAGTCTCAGAACCTCAACAGAACATCAGAGGACACTAGTTCAAAACCTTAGTCCAACATCTGTCTCACCTCCCTCACCCTCGGTTTGCCTGCCGCCGGCGACCGGCGATCCAAACTCCGCACGTCCAAAGGGAAGATAGCTGTGAGAGGAGGTCCGGTGGTTGTTCGATCACTGGATTCGCTGGGTCTCGCATATCTCCAGACATCCGCTCCTTCACTGGTTGTTTGGATGTACTATCTGCTGGGGTCTCGCATCAGATGTGCGCATCTACTTTGGATTTAAGTTTGGAGCGCAGCAGTCCAAAGCCCAAGCTGGATACTTTATTCTCCAAATTTTAAATCCACAAACGGGAAAGCTGCGGTGAGTCCAGTTTTCACTGAATATTTCAAGTGTTTTATGTTATTTTATTTTTAACCCCCTTCCAAAAAAAAAAATTAAAAAAAAAAATTAAAAAAAAAAATGTCTTGTACGAGTGGATTTGACAGAGGAGTAATATGCAATTACTGTAAGAAGCCCGGACACTTGATCAAAGAATGTAGAAAATTGCTGTTCAAAAATCAAGGAAATCAGCTTGCTCATGTTGCTTCCGCTACCAGTTCATCCGATGGATCAATTGCTATTTCTTCAGACGAGTATGCCAAATTTATTTGCTACCAAGAATCTCTAAAGCATTCCTCTGTCCCTATCTCGGTAACCGCTAATTCAGGTATTTCAAACACGTGTCTTGTTTCCTCATCCTCGAAATGGGTCATTGACTCAGGTGCCACAGATCATATGACCAGTAATCCTAGTCTATTCTCGTCATTTCATTCATATTTACCTACTTCTAGTGTCACTTTAGCTGATGGATCTACCTCACCCGTTCTTGGATCTGGTACTGTTGTTCCAACTTCTACATTACCATTATCGCCTGTTTTGAGTCTTCCTAATTTTGCATTTAATCTGCTTTCCATCAGTAAAATCACTCGTACTCTTAACTGTTCTGTAACATTTTTTCCGGGATATTGTGTGTTTCAGGATCTGTTAACGAAGCAGATTATTGGTAAAGGACATGAGTCAGCTGGTCTATATATTTTGGATACATCCATCACCAAAGGTATCTCTTGTCTTGGGGTTGGGACTTTGTTAGATGCTCATTACCGATTAGGACATCCATCTCTCCCATTAATGAAGCAAATAAATCCCCAATTTAATAAGATGACCTCTTTACAATGTGAGTCATGTCAATTTGCGAAACACCATCGTACTAGCTTAGGCCCGCGAGTTAATAAACGAGCAAATGCTCCATTTGACCTTGTTCACTCTGATGTTTGGGGTGCTTGCCCGGTTGTGTCTAAAGCTGGTTTTAAATATTTTGTTACCTTTGTTGATGACTATTCTCGTATGACATGGCTGTATTTCATGAAACGTCGATCTGAGTTGTTCACTCATTTCTCTTCCTTTTGTGCTGAAATTAAAACTCAGTTTAACGTTCCTGTTCGGGTGTTAAGAGGAGACAATGCCCAAGAATATCTATCTGCTACATTTAAGTCATTTATGCTTCAACATGGCATTATTCATCAAACTTCATGCGTTGATACACCTCCTCAAAATGGAGTTGCGGAACGAAAGAACCGACATCTCTTAGAAACTGCAAGGGCTCTTCTATTCCAAATGAATGTGCCTAAACAGTTTTGGGCAGATGCCGTGTCTACTGCATGTTTTTTGATAAATCGAATGCCATCTTCTGTTTTGAATGGTCAAGCTCCTTATCATTGTCTATTTCCAAACAGAGAGCTTTTTCCTATCCCACCTAAAATATTTGGTTGCACTTGTTTTGTTAGAGATGTTAATCCTCATCTAACAAAGTTAGATCCGAAATCTTTAAAATGTATTTTCTTGGGTTATTCTCGAGTCCAAAAGGGGTATAGATGTTTTTGTCCGAGTACTGGTCGGTATCTTGTTTCTATTGATGCATCATTTCATGAAAATACACCTTTTTCATCATCCAAGGCAGATATTCGTGAGAGTAATGATGATATTCTCATTTACACGATGACTATTCCCGAGTCCACACTTTCGACAAATATTCCACAAGTTACTGTTCATGACCCTAGGCCTCCCGTACATTTGGTATACACCCGTCGACACAAAGCACCTGATCACCCTCCACCGGCGATACCTGTATTTACTTTTCCTGATACTAGTTCGACTCCGATCTCATGTCCTGAACCAGTATCTGCATCTTCAGATCTTGATTCCACATCAGATCTTGATCTCCCAATAGCAGTACGTAAAGGTACACGGTCTTGTACTCATCCTATTTCTTCATTTGTGTCGTACAATCAATTATCTCCTGCTTCATGTTCTTTTATTGCTTCCATTGATTCTATTTCTATTCCCAAATCTGTCAAAGAAGCTTTGTCTCATCCTGAATGGCGTCAAGCCATGGTAGAGGAAATGAATGCTTTAGATCTTAATGGTACATGGGATTTGGTTGACTTACCTACAGGGAAGAAATCTATTGGATGTAAGTGGGTCTTTGCTGTTAAGGTTAACCCAGACGGATCTGTTGCTCGGTTGAAAGCCTGATTAGTTGCGAAGGGTTATGCTCAAACCTATGGTGTTGATTATTCTGACACTTTTTCTCCTGTTGCTAAATTAGCATCTGTCAGGTTACTTATCTCACTCGCTGCAATTCATGATTGGCACTTACATCAGTTGGACATTAAAAATGCATTATTGCATGGTGACCTTAAGGAAGAAGTCTATATTGAGCAACCTCCGGGATTTGTTGCTCAGGGGGAGTATGGTAAAGTTTGTCGACTTCGCAAATCTCTTTATGGTCTGAAACAGAGTCCTCGTGCATGATTTGGGAAATTCAGTCAATCAATTGAACAATTTGGAATGATAAAAGGCAAATCAGACCACTCTGTCTTTTACAAACAGAATCAGGTGTCACATTGCTTGTGGTATATGTTGATGATATTGTGATTACAGGGAGTGATAATGCAGGTATTTTGGCCCTTAAGAATTTTCTGCATAGTCAATTCCAGACGAAAGATCTTGGCTCTTTGAAATACTTTTTGGGAATTGAGGTAACACGAAGTAAGAAAGGCATATTTCTATCTCAACGTAAATATGTACTTGACTTACTAGCTGAGACAGGGAAATTAGGGGCAAAACCAAGTACAACACCCATGGTTCCCAACGTGCAACTCACTCAAGAAGGCACACCGTTTGAAGACCCAGAAAGATATAGAAGACTGGTTGGAAAGCTTAATTATCTCGCAGTCACCCGTCCAGATATTGCTTATTCTGTGAGTGTAGTGAGTCAATACATGTCATCTCCGACCATTGATCATTGGGCTGCTGTAGAACACATATTATGTTACTTAAAGGGAGCACCAGGACGAGGTATTGTTTATCAAAACCATGATCACATGAGAATAGAATGCTTTGCAGATGCTGATTGGGCCGGTTCTAAAGATGATCGAAGATCTACATCTGGCTATTGTGTCTTTGTTGGTGGTAATCTTGTATCCTGGAAGAGTAAGAAACAGAATGTGGTTTCTCGTTCTAGTGCTGAATCTGAATATCGAGCTATGGCACAATCCGCATGTGAGATAATATGGATACACCATTTATTGAATGAAATTGGATTGAAGACACCAATGCCTGCTCAGTTGTGGTGCGATAACCAAGCTGCTATACACATAGCAAACAACCCCGTATTTCACGAGAGAACAAAGCATATTGAGGTTGATTGTCATTTTATTCGAGAGAAGATACAAAAAGGATTAATCTCTACCGGGTATGTGAAGACTGGAGAACAACTTGGAGATTTATTCACTAAAGCTCTAAATGGGATTCGAGTTGATTACTTATGTAACAAGTTGGGCATGATAAATATCTATGCTCCAACTTGAGGGGGAGTGTGAAAGTATTATTGTATCTAGGAATATGCTTTAGGAATATGCTCTAGAATATGCTTTAGGAATATGCTCTAGACATTATTATTGTATAGCATCTTATATAAGAATATTCCATCTTTGTAATATATATATATATATAGGGCCTTAACCCTCTAATGAAATAC